AGAGAGAAAGGAAAGAGAGAAAGAGAGAGAGACGCACACAAAGAGAGAGAGAGAAAGGGAGAGAGAGAGAGGGAGAGAGAGAGAGAGAGAGAGAGAGAGAGAGAGAGAGAGAGAGAATTTTCAACAGGATCTTTAGCGTTTGCTAACACCACAAACAAGGAAAAACAATTCTCCCACAGCATTGCACAATTTTCACATTTTAAAAAATCCCATCTCTTTACTAACTGTTCTTGTACAATGATTTGGCACCTCTCCAAGAGTGTCCATAGGAGTGTGATTATGATCCCAACGCACGTCACAGCACTAGTGGCCTCTCTGTTGGTTCAAGACAGTATTGACTGACCTCCCAACGTTTCAAAACTAAAAAAATAACTGAACGGAGCGAAGAGCGTCACAGAAAACATAATCATGAGGCTGACTTGAATCACAAGTTTCAGGATTCTCGTTCTCTCTCTCTCTCTCTCTCTCTCTCTCTCTCTCTCTCTCTCTCTCTCTCTTTCTCTCTCTCTCTGATTCAACTATAATTGGGCTAATTCAGGCTGACCATAACGAAACCGCTTACCGGAATTTTGTACTTAATTTTTCTGAATGATGTGAAAATCATAAGCTGCTTTTAAATGTGAAAAAACCCGCAAAAAAACTTGTCGTTGATTTTAGAATAAAGAAATAGCCCCTGCAGTCACTCAAAATGAAATGTGAAAACATCGAGCAAGTGTCAGACTATAAGTATTTGGGTGTTACAATAGACAACAAACTCAACTGGCGTGTCCACACTTCTCTCCTGCATAAAAAAGTGAACAAAAGACTATTTTTTCTAAGAAAGCTAAAGTATTTTAAAGTTGATAAAACATTGATGTCCATGTTCTACCATTCAACCATAGAAAGTATGATCAATTTTTGTATAACAGCATGGGCCGGGAACACAAGACAACAAGATAAAGAAAAAAATTAAATCGACTTATACGGAAAGCATGTAAAATTTCAACATTTTCATTCCCCTACTTGGATGAATTGTACATAACAGCTTGCACTAAGAAAATCAATTCCATCTTTTTAGACAACAAACATCCCTTGTTCCCTCAAATAAAAACATCAGTCAGAAGTAAAAGACCCTTGCTTCTGATCTGTAACAAAGAAAGATACAGAAGGTCATTTTTACCATCATCTATCAAAATGCTTCCATCTTAACCATTTTGCTTAGTGTACTTGCGACCCTAGAGCATGCATCAAAATAACATTGAGTGTGTATCTAGCTTACGATTATTATTGTTTATATTGCTGCTCATTTATATTATGCATGTGATTGTAAGCCTACTTGTGTGTGCATGTGTGTGCACGTGTGTACGTGTGTGTGTGTGTGTGTGTGTGTGTGTGTGTTTGTGTGTGTGTGTGTGTGTGTGTGTGTGTGTGTGTGTGTGTGTGTGTGTGTACTCGTGGTGGAACACCAAACCAATGTGCCAGGATCTGGACAATATCTTATCTTATCTTATCTTATCTGTCTCTCCGTCTCTCTCTCTCTCTCTCTCTCTCTCTCTCTCTCTCTCTCTCTCTCTCTTTCTCTGAGAAACAGCGTCGTCCTTTGACGTAGGAAAGCTTTTCCATCCTCTGAGTTTTTTGTTTATCTTATCTCAGCGTCACTGGTTGTTTTACGTTCGGGATAGTTCATTATAACTTGATCAAAAAACTTATCGTGAAAGTATGGCCTCTGCCACTGAAAATTGCATTTGGGTATGGATTTATAATAATATGTATGTGACCTGAGTTATTGAAAGGAGTGTCACTTTTCTCCGCGGTATAGACTTTTTTTGGAAAGTGTTTTACAGCACTGGCAACTGCATACGTTCATATGAGCGCGCGGGACACATTAAACATTTTTCAGTCAGTAGGGAATGTTGAATTTTGCCTGGATGGCGTCAAAAGCCTACTCTTATCGATTTTAGGGTACCAAGGGATCATTAACGTGCGCAACTTGCACACAGGACAACCTCCGACATGTTTTGCCCTTATCCGAGAAGGCTAAGTAAACACTTTGTACGGGTAAGTTAATCCAAATTATGTATAATTATCCCCCCCCCCGAAAAAAAAAATATTTTGAGATGCCGACACTAAATCAGCTCTCTGTTTAACATGTAGTTTGATCACGCTTAAATGATTTGTTTGCATTCACTTTACTGTTTTTGTTTTTGTTTTTAGAAAAGGTTTCTGTCTTTTTGGCTGTTTTATTTTTCTCTCAGAAAATGCAGTTTTTTTAACTGACTGATCCTCAAACGTTACTTTTTAAAAATTGATTCTAAGGATTCCAGAATGAATCAAGGATGTTCTGTACAGCTTTCAGTCAGATTTATGTACTTTTACATCTTTCAGTTGTCGTTTTTTTGTGTGTTTAATCGTTTTCTTTCTTTTCCTTTCGAATAGGTTTTTACAAAGTATTGTATCTCAAAATTTTCGTTCGCGCATTCGTGTTATCTTAGACAGCTGTTCTTTATGTGTACAATTCGTTGCCTTGGGAGAGATAAAGATAGAGATACAGAGTGAGAGAGAAAGAGAGAGAGAGAGGGGGGGAGGGAGAGAGAGAAAGAGAGAGAAAAGAAGACAAGAGAAAGAGAGAGAGAGAAAGGGAGAGAGAGAGAGAGAAAGGGAGAGAGAGAGAGATAGATAGAGAGAGAGAGAATGAGAGAGAGAGAGCAAGAAGGAGACATAGAAAGGGAGCCAAAGACGTAAATTGAGGGGGGGGGGGGTGAAAAAGAAAAGAGAGTGAGATAGCGAATAGATAGATAGATAGATAGATAGATAGATAGATAGATAGATAGATAGATAGATAGATAGATAGATAGATAGATAGATAGATAAGGCAGAGAGAGGGAGAGAGAGAGGGAGAAGAAAAGAGAGCGAGAGAGAGAGAGGAAGAGAGAGAGAGAGAGAGAATGAGAGAGAGAGAGAGAGAAAGAGGGAGACATAGAA